GTACACAGTTTCATTTTATCCGTTATCCATTGCATGCCTTTCGAATGCAACTCAAACATATTATTCTGAGTAACACACCGCAAAGATTTCCTCACTCCTTTTGTGGTCATCTATTTCGAAGGGATTACAGCAATATGTTTGAACGTTGCAGTACACTACAAGGGTCGGTGAGTGCCGAAGCTAACTGTGTCACTTCCAACCGCAAGTTTCCGCATCACGACGTGGAATCTTCCCGAATCGTCTGCATCTAGCCGATCCTAAGTTCTTCGAGACAGGACCCATCGACATCATCATCGGAGCGGAATATTTCTTGGAGCTGCTGAAAGAGGAGAGGCAGAAGGCGACCGAAGATGGCCCGACGCTTCAGAACACCGTATTTGGTTGGATTGTTTCCGGTCGTATTCCTGAAAATCCTGCAGGCGCCGCATCGTACACTCTAATCTGTTCAACAGCACAGATTCAAGATCAGCTTTCGAAGTTCTGGGAAGTTGAAACTTGTCAATCCACCAGTACGTTATCGGTCGAGGAATCAGCATGCGAAGAATTCTTCGATAGGACAACGCTCAGGAATGAAGAAGGGAGATACGTGGTCACGTTACCTAAGAAAGAGGCGATTATCCAGCAGCTCGGTGAGTCCAAATCGACTGCAATCAAGCGTTTTATGGGAATGGAGCGTCGTTTTTCGATGAATTCAGAACTGAAAAGGCAGTACGTGGATTTCATGCACGAATATTTATCCATGGGTCATATGCAGGAAATTTTCGAAGAAGATACGAGTGCCCCGTCGTACTACTTGCCTCACCACGCTGTTTTCAAGCCTGACAGCACGACGACGAAGCTGCGAGTAGTATTCGATGCTTCTTGCAAAACGTCCAGAGGGATTTCACTCAACGATGGACTAATGGTGGGACCCGTAGTTCAAGACATGATAGTGGATATCACTTTCCGTTTCCGTACACATCGATTCGCTCTTGTAGGAGACGTTGCCAAAATGTATCGGATGGTGCTGCAGAGTTTACTGCTGCATAAAATCGTCTGGAGAGATACGGCACTGCATCAGCACCTTACATGGCTACGAAATGTCTGCAAAGCTTGGCCGATGAAGGCAAGGATTCGCACCCAGCTGCTGCAAAGGTCCTTAGAAAGGACTTCTACGTGGATGCAGTTACAGGAGTACTGGCGAGAGTACAGGCGGAACTTAGCAAGCTTAGACGGGATAGCAGTACCTCGATGGATTGGAATAAGCCGTATCGTCGTAGCAGTAGAGCTGCATGGCTTCTGTGACGCCTCAAACAAAGCGTACGGAGCGGGCGTATACGTTCGCACTACAGCTATAGATGGAAGCGTGGCAGTACATCTTCTGACCTCCAAATCTCGAGTAGCTCCACTCGAAAATTTGAAGAAAAATAAGAAATCATTATCGACTCCTCGCCTGGAACTATCGTCCGCATTGCTCCTAGCGCACCTCTACGAGAAAATCGTCAACAGCATCAACGTTACTGCCAAATGCTTCTTTTGGGCTGACTCAACCATCGTCATTTGCTGGCTTTCGTCGTCGCCATCTAGATGGAAGCAATTTGTGGCAAACCGTGTTTCCGAAATCCAACACATAACGAAGGGAGGAATTTGGAATCACGTCGCAGGAGAGGAGAATATTATTTCAAGAGGCATGACCCCAGTGCAGCTGCAGTACGAACCACGCTGGTTTCATGGGCCTTGCTGACTGAAGTTAGATCAGCAGTACTGGCCGAAAGTGCTAGAAATCGATGAGAACAAGTTCAACATGGCGGATCTGGAGAGTAAGGTCATTGCAGCAGCCCTTCCAACCGTCCCGTCAATCCGAGTGAAATTTTCGGCCTTCGATCGTCTCTGGTAAAGGGTGGCCACGATGAAATTGCCACACACAAAATTGATTCGCAAAATTCGAGTTTTCATCCGATTGCCATCAAATTTTCAGGGATTGAGAAATAACTATTAAACTTCATTTTACCATTTTACTCGTATTTTATTTACAGTCCATACGCAAATGCTCGCACCTTGGCCTTAACCCCGGCCATAAGATTCTGCACAACCTGTGAATCAACCGTTTTTTGCATGTAAACCCATACTTTCTTCAGTTCCTCGACTGTCTTCACTACCTTAGGTCGTTTAAGAAGGTGCTGCTTCATAATCGCCCAGTACTTCTCGATGGGGTGGAGCTCCGGAGTGTTGGGAGGGTTGAACATTTTCGGCACGAAATTGACCTTATTGTCCGCATATCACTTCAGCACGTCCTTGGAGTAGTGGCATGAGGCCAAATCCGGCCAGAAGATTGTTGGGACGTTGTGGGCCTTCAGGAGAGGAAGCAGCCGCTTCTGGAGGCACTCTTTTATGTTCACCTGTCCGTTCATCGTGTCCTGGGTCACGAAAGGTGCACTCCGCTTCCCGCACGTGCAGATGGCTTTGCCAAACCAGGAATTTCTTCGCAAATTTGGACATCTTCTGAGTGCGGACATGCTCCGGAACCCTGAACTTATCCTTGGCCGTGAAAAACAGGTTGCCGGGGATCTGTTTGAAGTCGGCCTTCACATATGTTTCGTCGTCCATGATGCAGCATTCAACTTTCGTCAGCATGTTGAGGTACAACTTCCTGGCACGGGTTTTGGCGGACTTGTTCTGCTTCTCGTCGCGATTAGGGGCCTTTTGTACCTTGAACGTTCGAAGCCCAGCCTTAGTTTTGGCCTTCTGGACAAAACTTCGGCTTAGGTGCAGCTTCTTAGCCACATCCCTAACGGAGGCGTTCGGATTTCGGTTGAAGGCCCCAACTACGCGGTTGTGATTTTTGGTGTTGTACGGAATACTTTTTCCTTCACTTCTGGGCTTCCGATCGGTGGTCAACCGTTCCTCGAACCGCTTAATCACTCGCGACACCGTGGAATTCGCGATTCCCAACGTTTTAGCGATGGAACGATGCGAGAGATCCTTGTTCTCGTGATGAATGCGCAAGATTTTATCACGCACGAGCTGTTCTTTCGACTCCATTTCCGCGAGTTTTGATCACAGGACTTTAAAACTTGCAGGATGTAAATAATGCACTATGAACTAAATCCACCCAAATTTTCATTAAATTCTACCCAACGGTTAAAAAGTTAGAGCAATTTCATAGTGTGGCAATTTCATCGTGGATACCCTTTAGATCTTGTGCGACTGACTGTCTACATTCAACGATTTAAATGGAATTCGTCTATAGTGAATCAACTCTGCAGGAAGGTAGGCTACATCACTTCCCATGAGTACAGCGATGCGATCAAGGCTCTCGTGAAATTGTCACAGCAAGAAAGTTTTCCCCAGGAACTAGCAGACCTTTCCAAGAGTGGTCAGGTGCAAGATTCGTCCAGAATTTCTCCGCTCAATCCGCAACTTGCTGAAGGCATACTCTGCGTTGGCGGCCGGCTGAAGAACGCTGCTGTATCGGAGCGTCGGAATTAGTTGGAATTAGTGTCTGCTATTTATCAATTTTATCTATATGAACGCGTCATTGGGACGGTACTAATGGATATTTTTGGTCGCTATTAAAAATTTAGAATACTGCTAAATTTATGTATGGGCCCAAATTAAGGGCATTTAGGCCGACATTACATCCATTTGCCCTACACGGATACGAATTTTGCTCATTTAAAACAAAAATATAAATGTTTATACTCTAAACATATGAATTATTCAAAGTAAATTAAAAGCATTTTTAAAACTAAAATATTCATGTTTGAATTAAATTCAAAAGCATGTTTATTTCAGCAATATAGGATTTGGGTAAACGGTTTTTAGCGTGTCATGCCTTTTTATTTCTTTCTTGTTACATTCGGAAAAAGTTGCTTCAGCTTTGCTCAACCTCATCAGAAAACGGCCATCCATTCCGAATCCATTCCGGATCCTCCTCCGACACCGAACATAGAAAGAAACCGGCATGAGGATCAGTGGCAGAAACCGAGTCAGAAACGGCAAAACGACGCTAATAACACAAATATGCACCGGTTCCACTGAACAGGAACCCCCGGACACCCATCCCGACGGGTCCTCACATCCCGGACCAGGACTCCAATACCCACAGGTCATCCTTAATCGCACCCGAAAAAGAGCAGGAATTAAGATTTAAGAACAGACGTCCAAGCTCGGTCAGAAACTTGTGTAAAGTCACAGAGAACAGGCATGGAGGCTCGAACAAAATTTCTCTAAAAACTTGTGTAAAGATTCCTATTCGATTTAAGCGCTACTAACGGTGACTTCCCCACTTAAAAACCCTCTTTGACAACATGATGGCGCTGGCGTTGCACAAATTACACAAGACACTAAGTGCTAGTAGCGCCAAGTGGCGATTTTCAACAGAAAATTTATCGATACTAGCGCCAAATTGGTCGAAAGTGGAAAATTTATAGAGAAAATCAGGAGATGCTAACACCACGTAACCGCGACGTTCCCACTTATTTTACACAAGTTTCTGACCGATCTTGAACGTCTGTTCTCTGTGGTAGCACTAGCATCCCTGATTTCCTCTAGAAATTTTGCACTTTCGGCCAATTTGGCGCTAGTATCGATAAATTATCGGTTGAAAATTGCCACTTGGCGCTACCAGCACTTAGTGTCAAGTGTAAGTTGTGCAACGCCAGCGCCATCATGTTGTCAAAGAGGGTTTTTAAGTAGGGAAGTCACCGTTAGTGGCGCTTAAGTCGAATAGGAAACTTTACACAAGTTTTTAGAGAAATTTTGTTTGAGCCTCCATGCCTGTGCTCTGTGCTTTTTCGGTAACCTTAGGTCACTTTTCAAACTATTTAGTAACTTACTTTCTTCGGCACTATCCACTGCCAACCCCGATTTGGTTGTCAGCTTCATTGTCGTTAATGTTGAGTTTAATGGTTCCACTGAAAAATGTCCTCTTTGTTGATTTTTCCATTCTGCGTCTGAGTACTCTGAAAAAATGAGCTAGGTATTTCTCAAATCAATAAAAAAAAAACACCTTTTACAAGTATTGTTTTACACTTTCTTGCACTGTATACGCTGCGCTTCTTGGAATATACACATTCATGGTACTTTTGCCTAGATGGTAAAATAATATTTCAATAATCAATATTATTTTGCTTCTGATTTTTTTTGTTTACTTTCAGCAATTTTTTTTTTTTTTAGAATAGCGTCGTAATTACAGAATTACTCAATATTTCATTTTTCTACCAATAAAAACTACTACTGTGTGTCTCTTACCGTTCTCTACACTACATACAACACGCATGGCGTCCCTTAACTGCTTACATGGTTGTCCTCTACGGTTAGATTCTCAAGCACTGATCATTGATTTCTTACGCCTATTTTCGCAGGAAACGACCCACCTCCGGCCGAGAACTCGTTTCCCTCCTCAACAAGTGCACTCCAATTAAAGTCTATAATATTTATACAGCATCCCCTCGGCTAGGCATATGGGATACAAAGCCTGCGTTTCGATAAGAAATTAAAACTGGATGTAACGTTTTCTTGCTCGGAAATGTAACTTCTATTGTGTTTGCAGTTCTAACATTATCTGTTCAGCGTAATTGTTCAATACATGCTTGTTTCGCACTTTTCCTGTCCTATTGTTTTATCGTTCGTAACTCTCACACTATATAAGCATACAGTACTAACTGCCCTTTTACAGCGTAGGTTTTATTTCATGAGATGAAAATATAGATATTTGCACATTTTTGCCTATGTTATGCCGTCGATACACAGCAAGTACAACAACAGAGATGTTATCGTTTGATAAGAAAACAACATAACGGATGTTTATAAATACAAATAGGTACACGCACCGTCCCATTCATTCTCGCATCCTCGCTTTTCCTAAGCATTTAATTGTTTGGATTCACTCTTATCACTATTGTACACTACCTTCCTTCTGCTATCACGCTTTTTTCTGCTACGCTAAATATTAAATAACCACCGAGTTTTGCTGGGCTGCCGCTTGACCAGCCGTTCCCGGTTCGTTTTGCTGCGATGGATCCAGCTCGCGATACTTCCGGAACGTTTTCCACTCGCCGGTGTTGTAGTCCAGCGTGATAAGCGATTCTACCAACATCAGAGCCTGGGTGTCGTCCGCTTGGAGGACCTTTTCCTGCGATTGCAATGGAAACATTGGGTTTAATTGAAAGCGAGGAAAATCGATTCCGGACTTACCTTGCTCTCGTTCAGCTTGATGGTGACGACATTTTCCGGGTTTGGCCGCGGGTTGTCCCGGTAGCCGGCCATAAATCCGAGAATCAGTGCCTTCTCCAGGCGGGTCACTCGGTTGGCCCGCTTGAACATGTCGTGCGCTTCTATGACGTGTTTGTTCTTCGGGGAGGGGTGATGAGGGAAGAACAGTGTAAGTAACGGAATTCAAATATTACTAAAATGGCATCGAGACTTACCGATAAGGATAGGCCCTTGCGAGTGCCTTGCTGTTGTGTTTGCTGTTGACCGACAGCCGTAGCGTTTTGCTGCTGAATGGTGACCGTGGTGCCCTGGTGCTGCTGCTGCTGTTGGGCAATCTGTGTCCGCTGGATCTGAATCTGTTGTGGTTGCTGTTGTACGATGGTGCGCTCTGGTGAGATGGAATTACGGGGGAATGTTAGGAAATTTTGATCTAACGCGCTTGGATTCTAATAAATGCTCACGGACTGATAAACCAGCGTTGACAAAGTTTGACGAAATTTGAGAGCTTTTTAACATCTCTTTAAATGTATTACAGCTGATGAGAATCACATGTAATCATATATCATAGTTGGATGGGAGCATGACTATTTGTATCTCTAACAAAGACATCAGCTTAAGTATTAAAACTGACATGTTTTCCGATGGGGAAGCCTCGACGCCTATTAACCCTCTACTGCCCAAACAATTCTTGTTTTCATTCTGCAGGCTTTTCGAAAAGCTTACAGGTAATATGAAAATTTTTTAAATCTAGATCAATTTGGCTTGTCTAGATCAGTTTTTGTAAGAGATTTTTTTTTTCAATTATGTCTTTAACGATTGTACCAATTTGACCCAAACGATCTGGAAATACTGGTCAAAACAAAGGGTAAGTCACTCACATTGTGCTGAAATTAAATTCGGCACACCTTCGGCACAACCCCGTAGACATTGGATTGCTCTCGGCAACGTGGGGCTTTAGGTAGTGATGAAACGTCGCTAGAACTATTCCACAGCCGCAGACAGTAATGAGCAAAGGCGGGCGCACATTTTTTGCCCGTAGATTTGAAGACATACTTCAAACCTCCGCGAACATCGTACGGGTTAGGCAAAAGATGTGCGTTTGACTTAGTACTGTCGCATTAATGGCCCTTCGCTCATTTTCAACATCTATTCAATTTTCATACTGCCGTACTCTAACGGAACTATCCACCTACCCACTTCTAAGATCATTATCTAGCTAATAAATTATCACACTAAACTTCACACTAGATAGCATTTCCAACCAACTCTGGACATTGGATTGTTGTAAATAAAATGGGAGCACTGCTGGACAACTGTCATTGGAGTTGTTCACAACATTACATGCTGTTTGACTGTATATTCAGGAACATCCTCTAATTGAATATACCAGAGGAACTCAGACCAGCAATTCACTCATAGATTTAAATCCGAAATGTAGGTTCCATCGAGGGCTCGAGAGAAAGTGGCAGTTAATCAATCAGACCCCATTAGTACCCTTAATTCAAATAATGCTGCAACTTACACAAAACAAACTACAGAAGTCATATTCAACATCCTCTATATTCGATCTCCAACAATGTTCCCCACCGGTTCCAACTCTTTCCGGCCGCGGACAGAACGTTGCTTTTCACATCACGAAAGGCTGGTCTGCCTTTGAGGACATTATAAAACCCTAATACACAGGATATTATCCTATGAACACAAGCAAACATAAGCAAGCCTCAATCGGCTGACGAACGAATACTATGAATTTGAGCATCAGTGCATCATCTACAACCGATCAGATATATTTAGAATCAGGTCCTATCAGTTCCCATGGGATAGTAACTACATCCACATTTATTGGAGCATTTTTTCTTCACATACGTCCGACGGCGGTGCGGTAGTATTTTTCGATGTATGTTCATTTTTAGAAATTGCTTTCCTCCTTGGTTGCCACTAGACCAATGTATCCTTGCGACTTCAAACCAAAACATGCAAGATGTCAGAAATACCGGGTTGCCGGGTTGGGTATTTTACAAACAATCGCAGCTTTCTCTATGACCGGCACACCTGCGGCACACTGACAAAAAAGATGGCTCAAGATTGGTGTGCAAAATGACCTACCCCTTGGGTCAAAATTTAAGAAAAATCTGTTCGATTCATCAGCATAGGATTTTTTTTGTTACGGATTAAGAGACCTTTTTGACTCAAGACTAAATTTTCAAAAGGGCGTTTGTGTTTTTACATAGGTATTTTCCAAAAAAAAAATCATAACTCGAAAACATCTGAAAGCTACAAAATTAAGTCTGAGAAGACGGTGTGGAAAATCATATGAACAGAAAAAATTGTTTTTTTTTTCCAAAAAAATTAAAAATAAAATTCAAAATTCAAATTGTATATCGCTTCAACGAACGAACTAAATAGATTACAACGTATCACCAACCGATGGAAACTAACAATTTAAAATTGGCTCACTATTTGACTAGCCTATTGGTCCCAAGAAAATCGATTAACGTACCCCATTCTAGTCGAAATTCTAGTACTACACAATGTTTGTTTTGATTCGCTATGAAAGTTTGACAGACAAAATTAGGGGTTCGTGGATTTTCCTTTGTTTCGAGGGGTGCATCGATTAGCTTGGGACCGAAGATAGTACCAGAGCTGAGCCAAAAAGTTGAGCACGTTTCTTCGGGACCTACTAGTCTTAAAGTTACATCTATGGTATCACCCCCAGTACGAGATAAAGATCGGGTAAGCCAGCAGTAAGAAACGTCACCGTGAATTGCAGCCAACTAGCTAACAACCTCTAGTTGGCGGAATAAAAGCGCTTGTGAATAACCCTGTTATTATCGTTCCTCTACCGGAGGAATTGTTCTGATTGTATATTTCATGAATTAATCCGAGCGTGAAAAAAGAAACAGTGGCTACGCTGACTAAGGACTGCTTGCTATGTGAGGATCCGAAGGTGTTTTCTCTGGTCAAGAAGAATGTGGTTTGGTATCATCCATGATCGGAGTCGAGAAAAATACCGGGATGTAGCTCTGGATCCTGTGACTTGGCCCAGTGGAATCCTGTTTAAGTAATTTGAAGACGATAACACGCATCAGAATTCATGATGGAAGCCCACAGTCACAGTCGAGCATTGCTGATTTAACTGAGTGTTCTGTGTTCCTGTGTTCGGATCCGGTGACGAGGTCTTCCAACTTGGTCGCTCAGGCAAGTATCAATCTGCTAGTACTTTTTCGCCTGAGTATGTATTTACCTTCGCCTGAGGAAGCATTTACCTTTGAGCGGCAGATGACGCAATTGTACCTGTCTCATAGCGTTCGTAAGAGAAAATGGAAGAGTTGCCAGTCTTCTTGATTTGTTGTCTTTGACTAAACCCAGTCTGTTGATGTAGAACCAAATAAACAAATAAACACTGTACCGAAACATCATCCTCTGTTCGAATGAAACCTCAGACCATTCAAATCGAAACATCGAAATCGCTATTTCGAATGATAGCTGCAACTCAGATTATCCTTCTCTCGAATACAGGATGAAAATGGTACGAGAAGCGAACGGACCACAGTTGAAATACCTAATGCTCTCTGTAGAATGATTGTCTTCCCAAATTGAAATGCATATGGTATGCTTCAGCCCTATAACGCAAATCATCCAAAACGATGATGTAAATAATTCTATCGAACGTTATTTGCTTATCTGAGCTGACAAACGAGGTGGAAACATAGTCATCACTCGAGAGAGTCTATGGACGCATATCAACTGATGGCGAATTGAACCATAAAGCAATGAAATTCAAAAGCATATTGTTAAACCCACAACTGAATTTTCAGACATTTTGGAGTTTTATGTGGAACCTGGTTGATTCAAAACCGAAAAGCCGCTGACCATATTGATGCTAGCTGTATTCCTGGCTTATTCCACTGGTACTGCTTGCATTTCCGGTTTACGCAACTGAGGTCTACTTTCTGCGTTGTTCCTCTGAAGAAGTTTCTTTTGTAGCCTTTTGTTTGTATGATGAACACACTGACAGCGGTAGCATGAAATTGTATCCGAGCGCTTTGAAAGCCGGTGCCGGTGGTGTAGTTGTAAGCGTGACTGCGTTCTAACACCCCAATGGGTCTGGGTTCAATCCCAGCCGAGGTCGATGGGATTTTTCTGAGGCAAAAAATCTCTGGTCACGTCTTCCTTCGGATGGGAAGTAAAGCCGTTGGTCCCGGCCCATGTGTGTTGAATGGGTGCGATATCCTACACAGGTGTGAAAGCTGCCTTCCTGCACATTCGATTGCCGTCAATGGATGGCAATCGATGTCCGTCGGTGATTGGCACTAGATTGCGGACCAGAGACCGACGTTAAATAAAAGAATGAAGAAGAAGAGCGCTTTGAAAAATGTCTACATTTGACAATGAAATTAGTGACTGCTTTTAGCTTTCGTAAATTCACCAATTTGATGGATCTCGGATTCTAGAAGTTCCTGTTCAAACTCTCCGATTGCAAAGAGCGGCCATCCGATCCGAAAAGTATCATTTTGATCGGGATTTCAACAACATTTTTTCTGTGACATTGTTCTTGTCATGTTGACAGCGCTACATTTTTACAGCACGATATGCATTCTACACAAAACGTTGTCTCAACGAATGCAATTGCTTTCTGGTGCCCAAGACAGAGCCGTTTATATGGACCTCAAAGAGCTGTTTCAATCGAGCGATCTTACGACATTGTTGCTTCCTGTGATTTGGAATACACCCAACGAAGCAAATCCAGAACAGCTACATTTGCAGTAGTCCCCAAACGAAGATTCTTCACCTCCCCCAACAATTCACCAAAAACACACTTACCTTGCTGCTGTGGTTGCTGCACCAGCTGTATGGTGGTGCCTCCGGCCCGCGGGGCTCCCGCCGCCTGAAATTGTATCGTATGCTGCGGCTGTAGTTGTTGTTGATGTTGTTGCTGCTGGTGTTGTTGCTGTTGCATTTGCTGTTGCTGGGGGATTTGCGTAATGATGGTCCTGGTTTGTGGTTGCTGTTGCTGTCCCTGTACCTGGCCACCGGTGGCCTGGTTTAGTTGCACTAGCTGCGGTTGCTGGCCCGGTCGCTGTATTAGCGTCAGACCCTGCGGAAGCACTGTTTGTACGTTGTTTCCGCCCACCGGCCGGATGATTGTCATCGTTTGCGGCGCGGTTTTGATCTGCTGTGCTTGCTGTTGGCCTTGCTGGGAGATGTTGGTGATCAGTGCCGGGATAGTCGAAGTCTGCTGAACTTGCTGTTGCTGTTGCGACTGTTGAATGACGACTGGCGTGAGAGCGGGGATGTTCTGGTGTAGGGAACTCGTGGGAACCAGAGCCGGAATTTGACTGAGCTGGGGTTTGGTGTCGGGTTCGGTTTTAACCAAACCCGGGGGACCTCCACTGATGATGGTGGCACCACTCAAGCCGGACACGTTTTGAAGGGGAATCTGCTGATAGACGGTGTTTCCCGAGGGGTCCACCGTGCGCAGGATGACGCCTTTTTGGTTTAGCACGTTCGGGATGCTCGAAGGATTGGTTAGGAATATGGTTTTGCCCTTGACGTTCGGGGACATGACCACCTGGGCGTACTTGGGCTGCTGAGTGGTTCCCGTTACGATCGAAGTCGTTTGGATGGTCTGCTGATGCTGCTGTTGAAACTGCTGCTGCTGCAGAATTTGAGCGACCGACGTGGCGATCATGTTGTTGTTTTGCGGATTCTGCGCCGTAATCGTGATGGTTCGCTTCTGAGGAGTCGTCGGTTGCTGTTGGATTTGCAGCTGTTGATGTTGCTGCTGCTGTTGCTGTTGTATGGTTTGGATGTTTAGAATGGTCGGCTGAGCACCGGAGCCCGGATGTTGCGTTGAGATTAATGGAGGAATGTTCTGCAACAGTTGATTGTTGTTAAGAGAAACCGTCGGAGCAGTTTTGATCTGAACAATCCGGGTGGGAGTCGTTGGTTGTGGGCTTTGCTGTTGCTGTAACTGCTGTTGGGTTTGCAACTGTTGAGCTTGAATCAGCTGCTGTTGATGCTGAGCGCGGGAAATGGTCGTTGTCAGGGTTGGAGTGGCGGTTGAGCTTGCATTGGAGATCAGTCGTTGAATGTTGATCTGTTTGCCAGGTGGGGAGGTGTTAAGAACATAGGTTCCCTGCTTTTGCTGGATGATCGTTCCGGTACTTGATGATGTAGTGCTGGGTTGAAGTTGTTTCGTGGTGAACAGAATATTCCCACCTTGGTTGATGATCGTAGTTGATTTTGGGATCGATGCCTGTATCGTACCCGGTTGGATCGTTTTCGACGAGATGATCTCGATCTTTGGAGGAGCAGAAGCGGGTTTGCTTGCTATGGTTGTTCCGGTGGTATTATGATGAATCATTTGTACAGAACTAGCAACGGTTGGAAGCTGTTGAATATGCTGCTGGGGATGAGATTTGATCTGCGTAGTCGTAGGAAGCGTGACAGATCGAACCAGCGATGGTGGATTGGAGGAAACGGCCATCGGAATCGAAACGTTTGGTTCCGTTTTGATAGTGATTAGTTTTTGCGGCTGAGGTGTAGTGTAAGCCAAAGGAGGAACCGGAGGCACTGTCTGCTGCAGGATTGGAGTTGACGACACTATCGGAATGGTTTGCACCGGTGTGCTACTTAGCATGGGTTCTGATTTGATCTCCTGCTTGATTTCTTGCTTGATCTCCATAGGTTGAGGTGGTTGTGTTTGCATTGCTTGCGGTGCAGCCGTCGGTACGACCGTTTCTTTGACCGTAGTATTCGGCATAGGGGTAGCAGGTTGACTATAGACGGTACTAGCGGTGAGACCGGCAGCATAGTCCGGAGTCGTTGTTGTCACCGTAGATGTCGTAGGAGCAGCAATCACTGGTTTCACATCCTGACTGGCTTGTGCACTAGCTTGCTCGGCGGCTTTCTTTTGCTGCTCTTCACGTTCCTGTTCTCGTTTTCGCTTCTTGGCGGCTGCGTAGCCTAAAGGTTGTTCTCCGATTTCAAGCAATTTAACACCACCTTCCTTCCTACCGGCGGGCATTCGACTGAGACTGGGCCGATTCGGTCCCTGTGATGTAGGTGGCGAGCGGAATCCACCGGTCGGAACCCTCGAGGGAATTCCCTTCAGCGGGGTCGTATCAGTCATTTTCCGTGGAATTCCTCGTGATCTCAAAGGCACTGTCGGCGCGGAAATTTTCTTCAGGCAGCTCTGGGCGTCCTTCGATTTCTGCTCAAGTTCTTCGCGCAGATTCTGGCTCTTGGGTTTGCGTTTTAGTGTGAAATGCTTAACCGGGGTCGACTGTTGGCCGACCACCGAAACCAAAGCGGATTTGTTGAGATACTGACATTCGAGTGGGAGCAGACCCAGATCGGCATTCTTGACCACCAACCTCCGCAGCTCGTTGACCATGTCGGTGAAAATGGGCCTCGTTTCTTCGTAGTCGGAGATTTCTGTATTGAGCGAACCGGTCGTCGGGAGAGTTTTGATCGTTTCCGCTATCATCGATACCCATAGTTCTGAATCTAGGCCAGCGACTTCAATCACTTCGTCCAGCTCGGTTTTCCACTGAAATGGAAAAAAAGCAATCATGATTAAAGACCACGTAATTGAATCGAATTTCCGCTGTTTTAAAGCGACTCAACAACATTAAATTTAATTTTTACACATCACCCACACATACCTCAAATCAAACAATAGCATAACCCATATACGTGAAATTGTTACAACTAGCGCGTAATTTCATTATTACAAACAGTAGCGGTTTTGAAGCTTTCAGTCCCAGAGCGCAAAAAAACGAAAATTCGACAGTAAACGAGAAATGAGAGTGCACAAACAAAAATAAAAATCGGCGTACGCTTAATTATCTGACCTGACACCTTTCTTTTGTAAAAGTAAAAATCTAAATGCGATTAACATCAAGAAATTCCAAGAAGTTCGCCATTCGATATTCGAGCAGGATTCCCTTCCCATCATGAAATTACCATTAATGTATACATCAAATTATTCATACCATCGATTGAATGCATGTAGGCAAAAAACCGAAAAATAATCCAATTTTTCATCACCCTACCGCCCGTCCAAAAGTACATAAAATTTTCTGACATTTACATCACAAAAACATTCCGCGATTCGCCCTGCTGCAAAAAAAGCCACAACAAACTTTTGCGACCACCTATTTTCACTCTTTCTCCCTCTCTCACTCTCTCTCTGTCTCTTCGCCGTCACATTCTCTTTCGCCCGTTCCTGCACACGCACACACCTTCATCCGAATCCGATTTAACGTCGCGAAAGCGAAAACCCCGCGCGCGTTGCCTACACTACTACCACACACCGTCACAAGAAGACCATTCTCCGCGCACTCCACCGACGGACCCTGTTGTCTCCCTCATATTTTTGCTTACCTCTTCGACGATCCTCCGCGGAATATGGAAAAAACTGAGCAGCAATTTCAGCTTCACCTGCGTCTGAAGATCCGAAAAACACTCCTTAATGTTCCGCAGCACTTCCTTGTTCAGCTGTGATATGATAGAACCGCTAATCCACGAGTCATTTGATGTTCCAAGCTTATTGTGTAGCCACAGGGAAATGTCGCTGTCCCGTACGTTCGCCATCTTGAATAAAAACTGACGACGACGACGGACGACGGAGAAAAAATATCGGTTGAGTGTGTGCGCGACGGCGGCGACGATACACGAGAGGGCGAAGAGAAATATTTTCGCCCCACCACTGGCGGGGCATAGTTGGAGGAGCAAGAACGCATTTTCGGAACGCAAACTCACTATCATGTGGTTGAACAGGGATGGAGTTCGGAGAACAATCTCGAAAACAACCCGCATAAATAATAACCATAAGATGCGCCTAACCACTAATTCGAGATATCATCCCAATTTTATGTGGTGTGGTCACACCATCTAAGATATCGTCAGTATATAATACCCGTTTATTAGGGAAACAAAACCAAATTTTGACGATTCGCTACAAAGGTTAGACGGATAGAAATCCCCTTACACACTTAATCTAGCTCGGTAAAATCTCCAACAGCCGATTACTTCGGCATTCACTTTTGCTGATATCACTTCAAAATATCTGTTTGTTAGCTGATATCTCAGCAAAATTTAATTTGTTAGCTGAGTCTCGGCAATTGTTTGACTGAATCTCAGCAAAATAAATTGCAGAATTACTCGGCTGTTGGAATCTCGGCGAAAAAATTTAAGTGTGTACACCGTTTGGGAAATTTCTATTACTGATTATTGAAAAAATGTTTGTGTCCACTAATAATCAGACGCCTTGCAAAAAGTTATTGAAGATCATGTATCAAATTAAATACAACTCTGCCACTTTGTGTTTAACACCCCAAAACCTCACCCAAAACACAGTTCGACATACTCTAAACACACTTCCATCAGAATTTTCTACCCGCATAATTAAATACCATTTCGATAACCGGTACGACTTTATCCCAACGGTTCGAATTGAGGTTACCATATTGATTATGGTTTCTGTATACTTGATTCATTACAGTAATAATGTAATTCAACTGTACAAGATATAGTTACCATATACAAAACCTTTATTAAATTGTTGCGTATACTCCTTAACCATAAGAAACTTCAACATTCCTGTTTTTTCAATGTGAACATTAAATGGAACTGTATTATAATGTTTTTCTATGGTTATAGACGAAATTGCCTTCATTATGAAACCATACTTTAAGTAAAGTAAACCTACACACTAAGATTTTTTTACAGTATACTGTAATTTTTTACCGAATATGGAACAGCTGAACATTCGGTAATCTATTCGGTATTTTTTTGTTTTACAGTGCGTTCTGTAAATTTGACTTCGGTCATATGAGCTGTCAAAATTTGCTGAAACGCATTGCAAATTTAACTGAATGATTGGTAAAATAAACAAAAAAGCGTTCTGTCAGATTTTTACCGAAATTCAGTAAAAAAAATACAGATTTGATTTTAAAATTTACGTTTTGTTCAGCAAAAACTACCGATTGAATTGTAGCTGGTTTTTATCGATTTTTTTTTTCTTTTCTTTTTCCAAATTTGGTGTGAATAATAATATGGTTCATTTCAATTGTTTTTTTTTTACATTTATTAATCCATGATGATTTCAATCAGTTTTTAACCTTTATCAGTTTAAAAATTTCTTAATTGTTTCGATCAATTGATGCTTCTCATAAATTTATCTCCCGTGGTAGTAAGGTTTCCTACGCCTTGAAAAATTGCAGAGGAAACAAGAAAAATTGCTTGTCTTCTGGCTTGCAGCTTATGTTGAAAGCAGCGAAGCACTCACACAGCACTCGGAAACAATACTTGGCATCTTTCTTGATGGATGCAGACCATCCCTTCCATGCAATGCATCCTTTCGAAGTGTCTTCCATTAAATTTCCTTTTAGGTATAAAAGTGGGACTTCACTATTTGGCACTGTGTTGAAATTATTCTGAAGATCCATCTACAAAGTACAATGAAAAAAAAATGTATTTTAATTTTACTTACGGAAAAGATCTCTTGCTCCTCCATCAAGAGCTCCAATTTGTTTTAATGTCTTCCATTTTTAACACTTACTTTAACTGCGCCTTTAATCTACGGAGAACTGCGCAATATTCAATTTCAAAATGGCGAAAAAATGTTGAGTTTGGCAGTACAGACAATTTACAAACCGTTCGGTACTTTTTACAGTCTGGTTTGTAAAAGACTGTTTTTACAGTACATTCGTCAATTTTTGACAGTATTGCGGGATTTCGGGCATTTACAGTTTTGATCAGTAATGTTTACATACAGTTTTCGGTAATTTTCTGCAAATTACAGAAATGCAGTTTTTCTTATTGCTGGAAAGTGGTAAAACATCAAATTTTACCAAACATTCGGTAAAAATTACATTTTACAGACCAAATTCAGCAAAAAAAGTACCGAACAAAATTTAAGAATTTTGGTGTGTACATTTGAGTTATTTGTTCTTAGTGTGCAGCACTGCTTCCACAGCTTTGATTCAGAATCAGAAAAGTTAGCCATTTTTGCGCAGTATTCAATTTGAAAAAAAAAACCATGTCGCCGAAGAAGAAAGCTGCTCGCGAGCATTATAAATCACGCAGCATTAAGCGTAGGTATTTTAAACTATTAACAATACATTTTTAATAATGAAATGTACATATTTTCCCACAGAACCAAGAAATGCACCCACGCTGGTCAGTCGAAAATTAAACCTGCTGGAGGAGCGTGCAAATTCTCAAAATGGAGGAGAAATTAACGACGAAGTAAGTTTAAATAATTATAAGATAATTATGTCAAGTGTAACACCTTAATATGCTCGTTCTAGCTGCAGAAACTGCTAGCTGCGCATAATAAGCAAATCAGCAGTACCGGATACGTCTTCGTTGCAGTGAAGCAGACGGAGACTCAGGGCCCCCCACAGAGGGTTGACGATCCATTAGAACCAAATCCGAAAACCATGTTCCCTGATGCTCAAACGGTGGACGAAGATCATAGTTCTCCCTGCTCGGCAACTTGCAAATGGGTTGATACGAAAATGGACTCATCAGAGGAAGATTTCTCAAGCTCGACACAAACATCAGGTAAGCTTAGAATTGTTTACTAAAATATATAGGTAAAAGATCGGATCCTCGCATGCAATGTGCGACACCGCAATGCCAGAAGAATGCCAGAAAGAAATACCTGTTTCGACCAAAGTGATTCTAATTTTCAACCTTTTTCTGTATTCACAGTGGTTAACGTGCGAGGGGGGCGACACATCTAAATCTCAATTCTAGATGCTCGAAAAATCTCACACTAGCGAATCAATCTTCTAAAAATCTTCTTTCATTTCTCGCATCTACTTACATCGCGCATCATCTTTTTGCAGGAAAGCTTCAGAATCGTCATCAGTCCTCTTTCTATCTAGTCAGCGTACGCGCAGCTAGCCACAGCAAACCACAATCTTTCCAGCATCGTAGATAGAGTCGTACCCCTCGTTAACGTGCCAACTTATCGATCCGAACCAATTCAACAAGTCAGGAATAATGAACTAGTAAATGCAGTTAATCTCTCAATCAATGCTGTGCCAAATGTAACACGTCCAGAATTACACGATCAGCATGACATGACTCTGGTTCAGATGTCATCAGAAGAAATACAACATTTACAAAACAGAATTCTGCTTCAGGAAATCCCGGTTACAAGACAGGCTACTAGTAACACCTGTTCACAGATAGTATTCAACATTCCAATGGTGCAAATCCCATCACAGCAAACCGAAGAAAATCCTGTAGAGTCCAACTTTCCCAAACCATTATCGCCCCCGCAGTTCGATACACCGCTGGCCACCGAGCTGGCCACAACAACCAATGGCGAGAAAGAAGAAACATCTCCCAGGGATATTGATAACGATTTGGAATGTCCTAAATGTGACTATTTCCGCAGTCTCAATGCTCGGAGAACAGCTGAATTGAAAAAAACTGAGAAACAAAATTGCAGACTTGGAGAAGGAAAACCGCGGACCACAGTCTTTCACTCTCCCGCGAATTGCAAGATTTGAAGGACAACCGAAAGATACCGTCGGTAAGCTTATTTGAATTACTATTTGTCAGTTGAAACTCTTCAGCGAATTTTATTTTGTACTGCCGGAAACATTGTGGATGTTGTTTAATGTAGGATATCTTCATTTTATTTTTATAGGTTAACTTTACCACAGATGACTCAATAGACATATCTCTAGAGGAAATCAAGAGAATTGATTATGAGTCGCAGTCAGACAGTCTTTTTGTCTGCAATCTTGCTATTCATTTCTTTGGGACGGAGAGATTAATGAATATGAGCGTTACCGGAAAGCAAACACAAAGATTTAAAAATCTTCAGCGAGAAGATGGGACCCCCTTATATCCAGCACGAGAACAGATCACTCCAAGCATTTTCCAATTTATTTGCGGTAAGTTCATGAGTTAAATCTTACCGTGTTCTCTTCTGATGCATTTTTTATTTACAGAAAAGCTTGTAGAACGTGTGGCCATGAAGCTGGGCCCATCCAAAGTAAAGGAAATAACGTATTTCGCCAACGAGAAGAATGTGCGCAAATACCTTGCGCAAAAAATAAGCAACCTAAATAAGGCGGCTGCTCGACGCACCTAGAAAAAGGCCTTTACAGGATACAGCTGGTGCCTAATAAATATAAAGACGAATATTTTGTTATTTTTTTTTATTTGAAACGATTTTCTCCATTCATTTAATAATGTTTTTATGCTCAATCCAACCATTTGCTTGGTACAATAAATAAAACTGATTTAATCCATTAAAAAGGTGTTTAATTTGATATGACAATAATATAGATCACATTGTATATGGTACGTATAGAGTGGGAATGCATTAAAATTTCAGCAGTAATGGTTAAATTACACTACGGAAGCCATAAAGCGGGGATATTATTTATGGTTATAACGAACGATTTTACAATACCACGACTGTTCTGAATAATGTTTTCTACATATTGGAGAACCATAAACGATGAAGTTTCAATACACTTGTTGTGTTGAAAGTACATGAGGATTTGTGATTTTTCGTACGGTAAACGTTCTTAACAGCCCATTGATGTTATGGTCAGGTCTGTAAAAACATTAACCAATATGGTCAAAACAATAACCAGCTATGGTTCGATTATGTTCAATGGAACCATATCCATTATGGTCTCGGAAGGAAGATAAACCATTATTGTTAAGGTCATAATGTGGTTAACGTTTATGCGGGTAGTGACGTCGTTTCAACAAGCGTTTGCATAGGAAATTTAATATGGCTTACATAATTTCAGTATGAAACCAAAATTTACGAATGTTCTTCCACTGGATGTTAAGATAATCTACACACTCGTCTACACACTTAAATTTGTTCGCCGAGATTCCAACAGCCGAGTAGTTCTGCAATTTATTTTGCTAAGATTCAGTAAAACAATTGCCGAGACTCAGCTAACAAACAGATATTTTGCAGAGATATCAGCAAAAGTAAATGCCGAGGTAATCGGCTGTTGGAGATTTTACCAAGCTAGATTAAGTGTGTATTGCATTTATTAGCACACTGTATACCATGAAAGAGCAGCCTGCCGGTGAGTTTTTGCCCATTTCCAGGTAATGAGCTACCATAAAAATACAAAACACCTGCTGATATTTCCCGGAGACTTAACAAAAGAATACAATCATAGAGGTAACTCTAAGACTACCCAAGTAACCAACAAGCCCGTTAATCGCCTTTTTTGCTATAGAAGGCTGCTATTCGACTGATATAAAGTTCGGAAACCCTATATTTACCGAGGGGGGTGACTCTATCTAAGATGCAGGAATTTTTTCACGTTGCTGTTGTGAGATGCACTCGCGTTTAATAGATAGAAACACAATTGATTTCCTGCAAAAAAGTGGATATCGATGCGAGTAGATGGGTTTAGATGCAAGAGATGAAAAAAGATTTTTCGTAGATTGATTCGCTAGTGTGAGATTTTTTGACCATTTAAAATCGAGTTTGAGATGTGTCACAAAAAGGGCGATTATCGGGTAGTTAGCGGGCTTGGTGGTTACTTGGGTAGAAGGTCCCGAAATAACGGGCTCAAACTTTCATAGCAAATCAAAACAAACATAGAGTAGTACGACTAGAATGGGGTACGTTTATAGATGTACTTGGTACCAATAGGCTAGTCAAGTAGTGATCTAATTTAAAATTGTTAGTTTCCACCGGTTGATGCAATCAAGCACAATCATCATGCAAACTCATCATGTTTGATATCGTGACCATCCTCTCCCGCGATGTTTACCTTTTTCCCTATACCATCACATACGTGAGGCCTAGATCTCCACCCCTTGTATAGACCAGGTTGATGTAATGTGACGGCTGTTGTAAGTGATTTACTGGTTCTCTGTGTGGGTAAGTGTGCTTGTGTATTTCATTGCAAATTCACTACACTTACGAGAACTCAGGAAAAATCAGGCGTTTACTCTGCCACCACCCACAAAAACACACTCCGACACACTCCAAACACCTTGTCACGCAGGGTGCCACCACATAAGACATAATTTTTCATCAATTCTGGCACCACTTCCAAGAATGTTAACATCAAGAGCAAATTTTCATTACGTCGAATGTAACAAAGGTAAACAAAGTCGAGCTATCAGTGTCAATCAATGCTCCTGCTATTACACTATATACTGTCCGAATATAGGATCACATCCCATTTTTAAATTTATTTACCAGTCGAATTGCTTTTTGACGTAATCACCTTCCGATCAAAATAGTTTTCGATGTTACTTAAGTCACCCAATTTCTATGGAGATGCCGTTTGCCTTAAGTAACAGCACTGAGAAACCCATGAAAAGTGTACCTTGGTCGTTTCGCTTTCTCATTATTAAAGTGAATAAATCGAACTGTTTGTTGCTAAGATGATTTCGGTGGTCCTAAAATGATGAATGGGCTGCACGTAAGGAGACGTAATTGATAATTCTCATGAATATCCTGGTAAATACACTTTGACTTAAGTAACAATAGGGGCCACCAAACGACGTATAATAACTTTTGACTCAAAAACCAGTATTTCTTAGCATGAAAGCTAGCGATTTGCATTTGTATGATTAAAACCCGGCTAAATATGTTAAACATTGCTATTGCCCGTTTCACACCAAATTGGACTAATAAGCGCGTTTTCACTTATTAAAAAGTGTGATAAAACTGCAAGTTTACGTCTAATCATCTTGGTGTCTTCGGTGCACTTATTCCTTGTGATGCAAGCAATAAGTGCTCCGAAGACATCAAAACGATTTGACGGAAACGGGCACTTTTATCACACTTTTTGCATTTTTGGGACAGTCCAGTTTCAGATGCAATCAGCAATATCACTATGAGATTATATGTGTTTAATTGGAAATAGGAATAACTTTTCGGTCATCAAAACAAAACTTTATTTTTCTCGGATCGGCGCGAATGTTACTTACGACATAATGAAAATTTGCTCTTGACATCATGTCAAGAGCAAATTTTCATTACGTCGAAAGCTATTAGTGTCAACCGATGCTCCTGCTCTTACACTGTATACTGTCCGAGTATAGGATCACGGTCCCATTAGAGTCGGTGTATAATGAGTCACGCCAAGAGTGAAGCCAAGTCTACCTATTGAACTGTCAAAACGGCTACCTATCGTGCAAAGTAAATAAACATTACGATGCTATGAAAGGTTCACGAAAGGTATTGCAATAAAATATAAAATATAATCGAAGAAATGAGCATAAACACGCAGTGAGCGTTAAATTGTCATGGGATACGCTCGGTAATGATTAGTAATGAGAATTTCTACTATTTTTTGTTAAGATAATTTGACAAAATCACTGATATAATGATTTACTACAGCCGCAGTATATTTTCTCTCGCAAGAAGTCATTTGAAGTTGTTGTAGAAGTCCTCTGTTGCCAAGTGAAAAGAATGGGAATCTTTCGAAAACCGTGATGCGAGTTCAACTGTTTTTCTCTTGGCGTGACTCATTATACACCGACTCTAGGTCCCATTATTAGTCGAATTGCTTTTTGACGTAATATGTTCCGATCAAAATATTTTTCGATGTTACTTAAGTCACCCGATTTCTATGAAGATGCCTTTTGTCGTAACAGCGCAGAGAAACCCGTGAAAAGTGTACGTTCGTCGTTTCGCTTTCTGTTTGTTGCTAAGATGATCAAATCATCTGATGAACATTTCAAATGGTCCTATCTGCTTTGATCGATTCTCTTCATCGACTTTCTTTTTCGTCAATAACTGAACTGCAAAACCTTTCCCTGTTGTATTTGACGTTTTGGACGCTAGATAAGAACCTTCTTGATCAAACTAGATGGTAGAATTAGCGCGAAATCTGTTTGCATAGCAGTGGTTATGAAAAGAGAAAGTCGATGAAGAGAATCGATCAAAGCAGATAGGACCATTTGAAATGTTCATCGAGATTTCGGTGGTCCTAAAAAGATGAATGGGCTGCACGCAAGGCTGCACGTAAGGAGACGTGATTGATAATTTTTCCGAATTTCCTGGTAAATACACTTTGACTTAAGTAGCATTAGGGCACCGACAAACCGACATGACACTTAATTCTGACTTATGCCCGAAAATCGTAAACGGTCGATTAAAATGTGCAGTGATCCGAACTGTCAAAACCATAGAATTTTTTGATCTAAATAAAATAATTTGTCCAGAATAGATCAGACACGAACCAATTTATAACTTTTACACGCGGGTTCATGGTTTAACTAAATATTTCCCGCGAACACGGAGCCAGATGTCAGAAGTGCGTACACAGCAAAAAAAAATGTAATATCGATCAATGTTATTCAAGCTGATGTATGAAATAATGATGTAATAGCAAAAAGCAGATACAATATTACATCAATGGTTGTAATTTTGTTCGCAAAATCGATGTACATCGTACAACCTTATATTACACAACCGATGGATTGACCTGGTTGCAGCAGTTTGGATGTAATATTCAACAACTTTTTTTTCTGTGTAATATTACATAACCAGTGGAATGTCCTCTGTGCAGCTGTTTGGATGTAATATTCAACATTTTTTTTCTGATTACCCTAATAATATTTGTATGGTTATTTTGCTTAACGACGTGTTCAGGGTATCATCCAAACCATATGTGGAATATTTCAATAATTTGGGTTATCGTTCGGATCTGGAATTTTTTATTAGGGTATGTACACAGAAAAAAAAGTTGTTGAATATTACATCCAAACTGCTCCAACCAGGTCAATCCATCGGTTATGTAATATAACGTTGTACGATGTACATCGATTTTGCGAACAAAATTACATCCATTGATGTAGACTAATAAAAATACAATGATTATATTGATGTGTCCCACACATGATATATATGTGTCAGACACATAGTTCTTATGTGTACACATAAAATTCAAGTGTAACCACACATGCTATTAATTTAACTCATAAACTTCATGCGTACTTCTGAGTGGATTCTGTTTATGTTTGGACACATGAAAATCATGTGGAATTTTACATGGAAATTCGCTAATAAAAATGTGTCGAATTTTATGAGTGTAATTGTATCTGTTTTTTGCTATAACATCATTATTTCATACATCAGCTTGAATTACATTGATCGATAGGATCGATATTACATTTTTTTTTGCTGTGTAAAGCTGATAATCTGCTGACAAATCCTGCGTCAAATGATAATCTTCCCTGCATGAGTTGGAAATACCGATTTATTGGTAGTTCTGGCAACGCTGCGCTCCGCTTTTAGAAAAGTAAACAAAAGCTCTTTCCGCACGAAGAATGATGATGCGGCGCCATCAGGATCAAAAACACGTAAACCAGAAAAAGATAGCATTCCCTAAAAAAAGCCTTTTCGTACCCTCTCATTGATTTTCCCGCATCATCCGATGTCCTGAAACTTGTACAAAAAGGAATGACGTTTCCGTCATTGTACGTGTGAAAAAGCTGACACAAGGATTCGTCGTTTTCAATCGCAGTTCACGCAGAGTAATAAGCAAGGACTTTCAATCCTCAATCATCGCATCCGCTCAGTTCGGGAAGAGAATTTCGAGTGCTTAGAATCGATAAGAAAACTGTTTCCTTGAAGGAAAATGTGCGATTGCTAACCACTCACTCAGCAATGGCTACAGCAAATAGCGGCGGTGGTGGAGCAACAAAATCGAGCAAAGCGTTGAAAGGTGGTGGTCCTGGTGCTGCTGCTTCAGGTGGTTCGTCCATTCATCACCACCAGGACGACGATGGCAATGAAAATCAATACTTTTACGAGGACGAAATTTTCTGCCTCGATGGTAGGGGCCGTGTCCGCTTTGGGCTGGTGCTGGAGAACTTCGAGGTCAGCGAGGAGGAAGGTTTCGAAGAGGACACGCTAAAAAAGGGCGAAATCCGAGCCTGCTGGCATCCGGACGGGCTGGAGGAGATTGTTAAGCAGAGCAAGGTAGGAATCATCAGTATTGATAGTTATGCAGTATTGTACATAATTTGAATGCCAAAATGTAGGCAACGAACAGATTCTGTTCTTTTTACGTTGAGTAAATCTGGGCAACTAACTTGGTTTGTTCGTACAGTAATCCCCCAAAGAGTGCGGTTTAGTCTACCCATTGCTTTTTTAAGTATGTGCTCTAACTAATCGAGTGAACTTTAAATCAGCTCAGTTGGTCAAGAAAGAGCCGTCGAGGGATAATGCTGCATAGATTCAGGCTGACTTTCAACACTGGCACCACTGTACGGAAACACCTCATTGTGAATGGATAAAATTGTTCACATGAGTTCTATACATTAACCGCATAGGGAAGAATAGACATGGGATGGGCAGGGAGGAAGCATGCTAACTTTTTCGAAGCTTGACTCATGTCGTATCATTATGTAATTCGTTTTTTTTTTGCTCTTGGATGCAGGTCGGGCTGGCAGACAGGACACTGATGCCAGGAGATGTCGTTAGACGAATGATTCCCGGCAAAGATACCCAGCGGGGCTACTGTCACGAAATTTTTGTCAAAGCTGATGTCAAGGCACGTGAGTGGGTGGATATTTTGAACTATGAACATAACGTTTGTTCTGCTTGCAGATCGTCGGAACGAAGTACGTTGTTAGGAATGTCTCCTCAGATCGATTGCGACCGCTGATGTCTATGCCAAAGGATAATGCCGTCTGTTTGGACTCATGGGTTGGCAGTACCAGAAACGTTGCGGAAAAGTTGATTCTAAAGTAAGTAAGAGGTGCTATCGCTTTGATTTTTAAACGTAGATAAATTGAGTTGGATTTTTTTGGTCCTAGATCTCCCTGTGGTTCACTGGTGGAAACGGGTCCAGATTTCGATTATTGTGCGCTGAAAGACCCGGAATCGCGTTCCCGATGCGGCTACTTTTCCAGTGCCCTGTTCTATCCCGGTCAAACGTTGGTAGTTCCACTTGGTGAGGTAGAGAACTCAAAGTGGCTCAAGACATCAGCAGAGATGAAACGTTCTATGAAACGGAAGGTTCTGGATCTGAAATTTTCGGTCCAAAACGTTGAGCTAGAGGGTGTTTGGGTACACTGGCAGTGCAAGGCGTCTTGCGAGGATATCGAGGCGGAAATGAAGGAGGGTGGCATCCAACAACCGCCGGACTATATAACGGGAGACAATTTGAAGCGTCTCAAGAAGCTCAATCTATTCGAATCGTGCATGTTGCAGATTAACGATAAAAATTACTTGAAAATCGAGGAAGGAGATTTGTTCTGCCGCAAAAGCCAATGGCGAAAGGAACTTAGCTCAAAGTATCGAAAAATGCTGAAAAGAGAGGACGAGAGCACCGAGAATGTGATCTGTGATAACGATATGCATAAGATTACCGTTACCGGTACGGAAAGCGAAAACGCATCCAAAGAGAAGCTCGAGACGGATCGAGCGAAGCTTTGCCCAGGCGCTGGGAAAGACAGCTTGAAGGTAGGTAAAATGCGAAGAAATTCACCGAGACGTCTGAATAGTAATCCCTCGTCGACGATTTGCAAATTGGCTGAAAGTGACGAGTGGCAGACGGATCCGGAGGATGAAGAGGACGACGCAGATGGTTGTGACTCGACTGTATCCGACGGAGGAGGCAGTCCTATTTCCTCATCATGCTCAAGCACAGTTACCCCGAGGGGTAGCCCCAAAAAATCGCCGCTACTGGCGAAGAAGCTGCGTAAGCGTAAGAAGAGATCAGCTTCGGCCAATAGCAATACGGATCGCATACCTGTCCCGGGCGATGATGTCATCACCGAAACGCTGGTTGTGTACAGCAGTGCCACGGTTGTTTGGCAGGATGGCACGATCGAAACCAACATTCCGTCCACGCAGCTCTGTCCCATTCACCATTTGGATGATCACGAGTTCTTTCCGGGAGATTTCGTACTGGCAGGAAATACGGATCTCTCACACAATCCTTCCTTCCGAGACTACGGGGTTATTCAAAATGTCGATCATCATGGTCGAACGGCGAAGGTCAAGTGGTTTAGCACGTACACCTGTTCGGATGAACCGCAACCGACGTACAACGGCGAAACCGAGGTCAGTGTGTACGATTTGAAGGATCATCCGGATTTCCAATATCGCCCGGGGACGATCGTTATACGAGTGGCCAACTTCAACGGGGACGATTCCAACAGCAGTGCTGGGCAGGTGAGTTCCTTGTTCGGTGCAGTGTTAGAAACCATTTGTGAATCAGTATTGCTTGCCTTCCAGGTCATCGACAACTATCCGAACGGGATGGTCAAAGTGTGGTGGGTTGATGATCACGTGAGCATGTGTTGGCCGCAGGACATCTTCGAGGTGGGTCAGTACGACTCGGAGAATAATTTCTGGGGCAACGACTCCGATAACAACTCCTGGGAGACGGAGGACGAGACTTCCGAACTGGGTGGTGTTTCGCCGCAGCGTGTCTCCAAACCGAAGCTCACCGCGAATCTGGAACGGGCTCGTGTTGCCATGGCACGACTCGAAGAGCTGTTCATCATCAATCCTCATCTGCAGAATCAGGAGATCATGAAAAAATTGCTCTTGGTGTACAAAAAGTGTCGATACCTGGATCGATTGATGGATACGAGCTTCTTCCACGAGCGACACTTTATGGGTCTGGTGGAACGCGTTCGCAAATCCAACAATCAAACCACGGCCGAACGGGTGCTGGATCAGAAAAATAGACTGTTCAATCAAAACGGCTCGAAAGCCACCACGCCCACGGCGGAAACCCCCGGTTCGGATCAGAAGCTTCCTCCCAGCTGCACCGCTCCTGCTTCCAAAATACTGACCACACCTTTCAATCCATCCAACCTGAATACCACCAGCTCGTTTAAATTTCCTTCCGGCAATAATCAATCCACCTCGTCGGACATTTCTAGTATTGATGAGAACCACGTGGCCACAACCAGTACCAGTTCGGCTCGTTCTACAGCGGGGACAGGAGAAGATTCTGGTAATTTTTCCGCCAAGAGTGATCCCGCAACCTGTTCCAACAAGAGCAGCATGAACCAAAGCGGTAACGATTCGCTGTTGAACGCCGAACTGGACAACGTAAACAATCTGTACATGAACATCAGCGAGGACATGAACTCAACCAGTTCGGTGTTCAGTTTCTCCCCGCAGGCGGAAAATGTTTCCGCGAAACTATGCTCCCTCATCAAAGCACAGTTGGTGAAGGCATTGCAAGAGGTACGTCTGTCACTGTCCTAACTCTTCCCACACCACAAAATCGTCCACACTAATGTTCTTCCCTCAACAGATCAACATTCGCTACAGCCAGGCCGATCTTTTCAAAGAAATCATCATCGAAGAAATTCAGTTCACGCCCCCACCGTTCGGTTCCCATCCGATTTCCTCCACTCCGTCGCTGTTGCCATCGTGCGCCACCACTCCAACCGCCGCAGCAGATCAGGACAGGCTGAATGACGCCGCCGAAGAAAGTGCCCTTGCAGTTCCAAGTCAGAGTGTCGAGTTCACTTTCGTCGAAAGTTTCCAGGTACTCGATTCCGCACCGTGCACCCACAAGTACCACTTAACAGTATTTCAAACCAACAACGCACAAGGCTTCTACAAGGCAGTCCAGCGAGAACATCGGCTGCTGCGTACTGCGCTCCCCCCGGGAGTTTGGGTGCGTACGTTCGAAGATCGGCTAGATCTGCTGAGCGTCATGATCGAAGGTCCCAAGAAGACTCCCTACGAAGATGGGTTGTTCCTGTTCGACGTTCAATTGGGTCAGGATTACCCGACTGCTCCTCCGTTGTGCCACTACATCAGCTACTGTTCAGATCGACTGAATCCCAATCTGTACGAAGACGGCAAGGTGTGTGTTTCGTTGCTCGGAACGTGGTCCGGTCGGGGCACGGAGATGTGGGGTCCCAACAGTACCCTGCTGCAGGTTATCGTTTCCATTCAGGGGCTGATTCTGGTGGACGAACCGTACTTCAATGAGGCCGGCTACGAGAAGCAGAAAGGTAATTATTCAATTCGAGTTACTTGGAATTGATTGATAGGTTTTTTTCTCCACCTTGTCCGACAGGCTCCCAGCAGGGCAAGGAAAACTCCCGGATGTACAATGAAATGGTGCTACTGAAGTTGGTGCAATCGATGACGAAACTGATCGGCAATTCGCCGGAGATTTTCCGGGAGCAAATACTGGTGCACTTCCGTGCGCGTGGCACTGCCATGTACCAACGGATCAAAAGCTGGATGGATCTGTCGAATGAAGCAAATCGACTGGCGACCACCAATGCTGGTGAGTATCTACTTACCTGAAAAAAAAAATTAAATTTAAACCGCAATGTTTTCAGAATCTCCTACCGCGGCACTATCCAAGGTAGCTCTCAACGGAATTCCATCGTCAACGGTTTCCGCGTCCGCATCGTCGTCCACCTCATGTGGGGCAACCGTTATGCCCGAGTTCCCGCTGATTCCAGCCAGTCGCGGGTTCTGCCTCACGTTGGCGGGTTTGTTGGAAAATTTCCGAAAGACGCTTCAAACCATCGGCGCCGAATAACGTTAATCAGGATAATCTGAACCCACCGCCGCCGCCGCCGCTGCCGTTGGCCGCCTTGCGCGATTCCTAATGCTCTCTCTTTAGGGTACCTACTTTTTAGATTGTTTCGTATTTTGTTCCCTGTTAAATTTTGGTTCGTTACGTTCTAGTAAATAAATTCTGTGAAAATAGCAAATTTTCGCAGATTTTTAGGTTAGTCACAATTGCACTGTGCTCAGCCATAAGGCAGGTTTGTGGATGTTTGCTGCGGTCGCACTAGAGTTTGGCCTAATTTGCTTTAAAAGAAGATATGCATTGATCAGTGGACGTTAGCTGCTTTTAAATAACTCTACCGAAACGAAGTGCATGGTCGCCTGTAGACAAGCGTGGCAGCAATAGTGATGATTGGCGCTGACCGAGTCTAGTGGAAAAAAACTTACAGTCCCTCACTTGTCAAGTAAGTATATAATTGGAGCTCTTGTCACTTGTTATGATAATTGATTGCGCAAGGAATCCTCTTTACAAGCTAGGCTTGGCAAGTGCAGCAAGGACGACCCTTGACAAGTTTGAAGGTCGACTTATGGAGTGCTGTGAATGAATTCGTCCAGTATCTCAAGGCAACCGACGTGATAAAATACCTTCAAGTCAGGTTGTTGCGGTTGATAAAGGAACATGATTTACCTTATTCAAATTTTGGCTGAATTTGTCCTGTCCTGAAAAGGTCACTTTTACCTCAACAGAGATGAATCAACTGAATTGCCGAAGTAAACCCAATCGAAACTTTCAGGGCGCTCCAATGCACAGCTATAAAAGGCTCAAAATATGGCGGGAGGGGGGGGGGGGTAATATTGCCTACACTTCAGGGGAATCATCAAATTCATTTCGAAACGTAAACAATGATTTTGAACGTCGATTTCTCTTTCGAAACCATTTGAAGTTTGTATGTTTTCTCGTCGAAACCATTTGAAGTTTGTATGGGAATTACTATGGTAAAACCAAGATTTTTGTTCATGTCTATCTAATAATTCACCACATCGGTCTGCTTCAAAAGCTTTCAACTGTACTTGTAGGAAATTTTCTCAGCTACAACTTTGCTGAGACCACTTTTTGATTAAATTCAAGGAAAAGCTATCAATGGTTCAATGCGCTGATGCCTTATTATCATGTCATTATCAACTGCTCAGCAGGCAACTTTGGTTTCTGGGGCGTTGAATAGGACACAAAAATTAAAGAGCCTGAATTTATAAAGAGACGACATGTCAAAATTGGAATAACCGGTTGTCCGTCAAAGTCATAGGAAAAGTCATTCCAATCGAGCAGAAGACCTGTCAAATGGATAAGATGTCGCCTCTTTATAAATTCAGGCTCTTTAACAAAAATCATGGCTACTATGTCACACTGCAAAATACAGTGTTGCCTGCAGAGCAGCTGCTTGATCATGTCTTAAGTTTACCAATCTCTAAAATAATTAATAACTTTTTCCTGTCTCGTTTTACATAGAAACGATCTTGAGCAAAGTTGTAGCTGAGAAAATTTTCTATAAGAATGGTTATCGAGCTGTTTCGCAGCTCAATATGGAAAAAAAGACTAGAAGGCAATGAACAAAAAGTTGAGATTTCCCATAGTAATTTACATGTAAACTTCAAATGGTTTGTGCGAAGTCTGTTTCTAACCAAATGAGTTGTAACTTGTGGAGGCTAATCAGGACCCGATTTGAAACCATTTAAGGTTCTACAATGGGTCATTATTTTGTTTACTTCTTCTTTTTGAAATATTCTTCGATCATCATTTTCTAAATGTATTGGTAAAATTCATTGGAAGTGCATGTCCCCACGCCAAAACTGCCCATTTTTCATAAATATCAACTGGTATGGTGAGGAAAACTTAACCATCTCTTTTCTTCCTTCATTTCAATACAACAGCAAATGTGATGTCACACTATCTAGTGGATAAGAATGTAGCAGACAAAACATAAGCACTGCCAGACTGCGCTGTATGCAAGTTTGTTTACACCCCTGAGCGGGAAAGTGTATAACAGGCTACGTGCACTGCTGCCATCAACCCTGTTAGTGTTGAATTCAATCTTCTGTGACTTTTTTAATTGGACCGGTAAAATGTTTAAAATGGTCATTTATGTTTTATTTAATCAGTTTTTGATATTTATCCACCATTAAATACATCCACTCATCTATGTTAATAAGGCAGACTTTGCAATTAATTGTTTTAATAAACTTAAATTAATTGCTAGAGGAAATACATCTGGCACCGCTGTTTCAATGATACTTTCACGACTGCTAGCAAAGCAGTAAAGTAGAAATGGTTTTCTTTGTGATAAATTTTGTTCACCAAGAGTTTTGTGAAGCAGTTGTTTCGAGTTTCGTGTATTCGATTGCGTTTAATTGTGCTATACTTCGAAGAACACAAGTAAGTAAATACAGTGAATGTGTTTTACCCAGGAAATTTTCGTGTTTTACCCACGAAATACATGTTTTAAATTTACGTATTCATAATATATGAATGTATGTGTAAACTAATGATGATGATTTTATGATATTTAAAGAAGAAGAAGAACACAAAATTACTTACCCTTTGTAGAACCTTAAGCACTGTGGAGCGAAAAAGTCAAATTTTGCATCAGTCTAGTGGGTATGTGTAGTCATTCGTAAGAAACAGACGATCCAAGTCCTTGTTTACGTTTCGAGTTAGACCCTTCTGACATGTTTCCGCTGACTTGAAGAAAATATATGTGATCATATGGTATTGGCATTGCCAGAAGCTCTTTAGCCAAGTTTGAAAGAGCGGTGAAAAATAGTGAAGTTGTTGAATCCGTGTCCGCTCTGTCTGTACCACTATTGTAGAACACGCAAACAGGCATCGTTAGCTAAATCGAGCTATCCTGTTACGAAGGCTAAAAGTGCAGTTAGGTAGGCCAGTCTAGGACACCGCATAAGAGGCAGATTCAGTGTCTCGTGGTGACGGATCCTCTATGATGAAATCAAGCAACTCAGCAAAAATTTAACCTGAGTCCAAAGGTGAAAGCAAACAGTCGCCCAGGATGGAAATCTTTCACGTTGACCCTATGCACCATTTGAGGTGGTTCAGGATACTTGAGTGAGTGATGTCCTACAAGAACGGGCGGACGATTTTGTTGGTCTTGAAGGATGAGCTCACGGTACCGTTTTTCAAAAGATTTGTTTTTTGAAGTTGATTGCCAACGTGCTCTAAACAAATTATCTTCTCCTTGAGTTCGCTTTCTGTAAGACCGCCATATATTCAGCCTTCGCCGTTGATAAGGTTATGGTTGATTACTTACGGCAACTCAAAGAAATCGGTTCACCTGATCTCGATCTCGTTTCCCTAATCTGCATCACTGAATCAGATGAAAATAGTCATCTGTTTGCTTGTTGTAGATGAGTTTAACCTTCTTCGTGCTTTTCAAATGCCTATCGCAAAATACGTTTTGCTGCTATCCAGGATCACTGAATAAGTCGTTGACTGCGTTAACGGCGAAGCTAATATACGGTCGCGTACATTGCGCTAGGAACTAGATACCTCCTACCAGCTTCCGGAAGAGAATTTTCTGTATCTGATTCGTTCTTGGTTAGTGGAAAACAGGGGCCTTATTACGGATGTCACTTCACGGTGAAAACTTGTCACTTGTCATCACGGTGAAGTGATTCCCATTTGATTTGTACAGCAATCACGGCTCTTATTCTGAGTATCACTTGCTTATCACCGTGTAGTGACACCCGTAATAAGGCCCCAGTTCTCGATCCTGAAATAGACTCACTTATCGCAATTCGATCGAGTCAATCTAAAGCACTTGAGTTCCATATTGGCTCATTACCGCTACAAAAAGGGTCTTCTCGTTCTCGATCCTGAAATAAACTCCCTCATCGAACTTCGATCATGTCAATCCAAATTAACAAATCCTTCCGGATGGTCCGTGTATATATTTTCCCCTTTCAGCTCACGTTGTGACTGCATCCATCTGATGTATCTTGAGATCCATTATGGAAGCTAACGACATCAAGTAGAGGCCTCAGAAGCGGATTGTAGCATACCAGCACTGGAATGCTAGGTGTATTTAGAAAACATCATCTGTCTTAATCTCTACTTTTAAAATGTGTAGATGTTGAGTTTTACGAATTCATAAAACTGAGTCTACTGAATAACAGAAGTTCAGGAACCTTCTAAGACCTCAATTCGTAAAAGCTCAGAGAACATCATTTGATTGCAGAAAACGTAGAAATTCATGTAGCTTCATAGATTTTCGGAAAACTTCGTAGGAGCTCTGGAAACTTTCTTGAAGTGTTGCAAAGTTTGTAGATACCCAGCTAACTTTGTAGAAGCTCAGCAAAATTCGTAGAATTCAGTGATCTTCGCAGGAGTGCTGATAATTTTGTAGAACTTCAGCAAATTTAATACAAGTTCGGACAACTTAGTAGAGCGTCATCAAACTTTTTAGTGATTAAGCGGATTTGAGGAGAAATTAAGAGAATTTAGCAGAACTTTCGTTGAAGTTCAGGGATTTCCATTGAACTCCTTAAAATTTCAGGGACTTTGAAATTCAGAAACATTTAATAGAACATGGAGCGTTAAGTTTATTTAATTTCAGGAAAATTCGTAAAAAATCCGGGACTTTCAATTCAACATCAAGGCACTTAGTATAAGTTTCGGGGATTCCGCATAAGTTTAGAAAACTTTTTAGAACTTCAGGGAACTTTGCAGTATATCAATGACATTTTTTATAAGTTAAGCGAGTTACTTAGCAATTCGAGGCACTTCGGCAAACTCTGTAGAAGCTAAGTTAACTTCGTAGAGGTTCATAAAATTTCGCAGAAGCTCAGGGAATATCGTATGGTCGTCAGTTGGTATCTCATTAGTGAATATATCCTGAACGGTGGCAGCAACTTCTCCGTTGAATTCCATAGACGATGGGAGGCCGGATTCCCAGCGTTGCTCGTTCACGTAGTTCCAAAAGGATTTCGGGTGTAGCTTAAGTTTGCGCTGGATGCCTCGTTGGAAACTTGAAAAGTATTCACGACTTACTCGTTTTTTTCCTTTGATTTGTTTTCCGTCGATCTTGTTTTCCGTGCTGAGCACCAATGCTACCGACGCCAAGGAGGCAGCTCGCACACCTGGACCCTACCTATCGACTCATCAACGCATGAACCGGGAACCAACGACTTTACT